TTTTCCAGCTTTCCTGGGACATTCTGGCTGTGCTCCGCTCCCACTTGGAGCCAGGAGATAAATTCTGGGAATGGCTTTTCCATGTGTCCCGTGGTTGGGAATGGCGGATCCCTGTCCCCTCATCCCAAATCCCAAATCCCAAATCCCAAATCCCAGATCCCCGGATAACGGATTCTCCCGGCAGTTCGCAGCTCCGAGCCCGCCGAGGCCCAGGATTGGGTGGAGCAGATCCAGTTCCTCCTCAGGGGTGAGTCTGGAGCCGTTCCCAGTTTTTGGGATCTTTGGGAAGCGTTTTCCCCACCTGGATCCGGGCTTTCCATCCACCCATGCCCGGATTTGTGGGGAGTTGCTCCAGCTGGAGGCAAAGAAAATTCCAGAAACCCTCTGGAACCCTCTGGAATTTTCCAGGACCTCTGGAACCCCCCAGGTGCATCCCTTCAGGACTCATCCCTGAATTTGGGGTTATTTCCTGGGATTTTACGTATTTCCTTGGGATTTTCCATCTTTCCTTGGGTTTTTCCTTGGTTTTTTGCCCATTCTGGGGTGCAGGATTTGGATCTCAATCCCACCCCTCTGGAATCAGGAGAATTCCCACTTTTCCATCCCTTTTCCCCTCTTCCCCGGCAGACCTGAGTTCCCTGACCATTCCCTGCGACGAGGATGAGGAGGAGGAGGAGGAGGAAGAGCTCTCCAAGGACCGGGACAGCTCCGATTCCATGAACACTTCCCAAAATTCCACCCTGAATCCCGAGGAGCCGGAGCTGGAAGGCGAAGACATCTACGAGGTGATGCCAGGTGAGATCCCAAATTCCCAACTTTTCCTTGGAAAAACGTATGGAAACCTCGGTTGTTCCCACACCGGTGCCATTCCCACATCTCTGCTTTTAACCCACCCAAAATTCCAAGGTTTTATCCCATTTCTTTATTCCGAGCTTTCGATGGACCTCCCAAATCCAAACCTTGTTTTTCTGGGAATTTCGGGTCCAGGGATTCTGCTGGGAGCAGCCCTCAGAGTTTTGATGGATTTTCATGGATTTTTAAAGCATTTTCATGGATCTTCACAGAGTTTCATAGGTTTCCATGGTTTTCCATGGATTTCCATAGTTTTCCATGGATTTCCATGGATTTCCATGAATTTCCATGGATTTCCATAGGTTTCATGAATTTCCATGGATTTCCATGGATTAGGTTTTCAGCCTTCCTGAGGTAGCCTGGCAAGGATTTCCATGGACTTCACGGGATTTCCATGGTCTTCCATGGGTTTTCATGGATTTCCATGGACTTCCATGCATTTTTCTGGGTTTCCATGAATTTCCATGGATTTCCATGGGATTGGCCTTCCCAGCTCCCCTGGGACAACCCAGCTCTTCATCTTGGGAAGTTTTGGATCTTCCTCCATCCCAAACCCCCAAAAACCCAGGAAAATCCCCAATCCCGTCCTCCCTCTGCCCCCTTCTCCCTCCTTTACCTCCTGACCAAAAACCACGGAAAAAAAACCCGGGAGACGGGAATAAAAAAACCGGGGAAAAGCCACGGAGAGATAATTTCCTCGGCGTTAATGAAGTTTTACAAAAACAGACGCGGCCGAGGCCAAATAAAATTTCACAGGTGATAAATTTTTCCAATTTCCCGGGAAGGATTCGATGGGAATGTTAAATCAGGAGTGAAGGTGTCCGTTCGGAAGCGCCGAGCGCTGCCGGGGAATTTTATCGACTGGAAAATTGAATCAAATTGCTCCATTAAAAACTCGGCTCCGCAGAGATTCCGAAGCTTCCCGGGATGCGCCGGCGGCTCCGGACCCCCGGGATGAGGATCCCAAAAGTGGGGTGGGAGGGAGAAGTGGAATTTTCCAAAGTTTTCCAGCTTTTCTCTTTGATTCCGTCCTGGAGAATCCAAGTGTTGGGTGGAGTTGAGAAGGCAGAACTTCACTTCCAGGCCTGATTCCCAGAAAACTCTTGGATCCATTGGATTTGATTCCAGGAAAACCCTTGGATCCATCGGATTTGATTCCAGGAAAACCCCTGGATGGTGGGGAGGGTCTTCTCCATCTCCATGGATCCCATTCCTGGATTTCCCAGCCCCAAATCCTCCAGGAATGTGCCTGGGAACGGGACAAGGAGCAGGCAGGGATGTCTGTGGGAAGGGAAATGGGTTTGCCATGGATGGGAAATGGGTTTTCCATGGATGAGGATGGAAATTTGGGATGCTCCACCCAGCTCCACTCCCTTCCCATTTTTCCAAGCCTTCCCAGCCCCTCTGGAATCTGCCTTTTCCCCGGGATCCCTTCCATCCCTTCCTCCCTAATTCCTCCTTCCTCCCTCCAATTCCCAGCCTGGAATTTCCCCTCTGGAATTTCCTCTTCCTCTCTCCCTGCAGGAATTCACGCATTTGTTTTTCCCGGTGCCCACAACAATTCCAGTTTCCCATGAAAATCTTCCCCGGTACTTCCTCTCCCCACCATCAATCCGGGAAATTTTTATTCCCAGGATTCTCTCAGAGCCCTGGGCTGCCGGAGCTGCGGCATTCCCGGATTTTCCCTGATTTTCCCTCTGTTTTTCCCGGATTTTCACACTGTTTTTTCCCTCCCCAGATGAGGAGCTGCCTCCGCCATTCCCAGAGGATGAGGAGGATCTCGGGAGCGAGGAGGGTAAGGTCCCAATCCAAAGGATTCCCGGGATATGGATGGGGGGAATATTTTGGGATTTTGGCCACTTTGGAGCACCCTGGGCTGTGGGAAAATGTGGAGAATGGGAGAATTCCTGGGATTTGACTCCTCCCACTGGTGGAATTCCACTTGGGAAGACTCTTCCCGATGGGATAAGGAGACATCTCCCAAAATTCCTGGGATATAGGAAGTGTTTGGGATTTTTTAAAGTGGGATTTTTATCTCTAAAAAGCCAGGGAGGGATCCCGCAGGAATTTTGGGATCCAACCCCCCAGAATTCCATCGGATATTCCCGAGATGCCTCCAACGCCCTTCTGTCCCTCTGGGGAGCAGGAAAGGAGCTGGGATGAGAATTCCTGGGAAAGGAATCCCTGGAAAACTGGGACCAAACCCTTTGGGGAGCACCAATCCCTTGGCCAGTGAGTCCGTGATGGAATTCCACGGAATTCCCGACATTTCCCAGCCTCAAAATTCAACATTCCCATTTGGGGCCTTTCCCATCCCGGAGAAGCTCCAGGAGAACTCTTGGCTCTGGAATCACCTCCATGATCCTGTGCCTATAAATCCCTCACCAACCTGACACATTTTTCCCTTTTTCCCAGAAAATTCCAACTGGGATTATTCCAATTACTACCAGGGATTGTGGGATTGCCACGGGATAATCCTGACGAACTCTCCTTCCAACGGGGCGACCTCATCCACATCCTCAGCAAGGTAGGAGACGAAATTGTTGGGGAATTTTTGGGAATTTTTTGGGAATTTGGCTCATTTCCCATATTATTTCCCATTTCCAATGGGGGGCACTTCATCTGTGTCCTCAGTGAGAGAGGAGCAGGAATTTTTGGGGATTCGGGCTCATTTTCAAGGCAAAAAGGTGCTAAAATCACCCAAAATTAAGATTTAAAAGTAAAATTAATGACATCAGGAGAGGGTGTATTAGTTTCACTGGGTTTTACTGGGTTTTATTGGTTTTTACTGGTTTTTACTGGGATTGGGGCCCATTTGGGCCTTGCTTTGGGATTGGAAGAGCAGCTCCCCCTCCCAATCCTGCACCCAGATCTGGAAACCTGCAAATTCCCCATTTTTTGGGATTCCCAATTTGAGAATTTGCCCGTGCTGAGATTTTCCAGGCTGCATTCATGCAGGGGGGAGGAGGAGGAGGAGGAGGAGGAGGAGGAGGAGGAGGAGGAGGGAAAAGGTTGGGAATGTTCACTCAGCTGCGCCTTAATTTCCTTTTCAATCTTGTCCCAATTAATTTCGCGGAATTAATCTCTCGGCGCCCGCTGGCTCCGACCACGGAATAGCGGCTCCTATAAAATCCCATCTGGCGCCTTCCCGGCCTGGCATTCCCGGGAAATCTGGGCCCCGGGAGCGGAATGGGGTCAGGGAATGGTGGAATTGTCGAGGCTGGATCTGGGCGTGATCCCCAATGTGGAAACCGACCCTGACCCGGTGTTCCTTGGGCAATTCCAGGGAAATCGGGCCCTGTTTGATGCCAGGAATCCCGGGAATGCTGATCCCAAGGGATCCTGGGTCTGGGAGGTGCAGGGTGACAACCCCAGAGGTGCCAACGGCTCATTCCAAAAATCCCTGTCAGGAGAGAACACTGGGAATTCACTTGGGAAAAGGGAAGAGTCATTCCCATCCCAAATTCCCATCCCAAATTCCCATCCCTAATTCCCATCCCTAATTCCCATCTCTGGAAGAGCCCAAGGCCAGGCTGGGCTGGAATAGCAGGAGGTGTCCCTGACCATGGCAGGACTGGGATTGGGATGGGGTTTGAGCTCCTTCCCACTCACCCCATCCCGGAATTCCATAATCCCAACAAAACCCCGTTCCCATATCCCCATTCCTGGCCCTGTTCCCCTTTTTCCTGTCCCAGTGATTCCTCCTCCACGATAATTGTGGGAATGTGGGATCCATTCATTCCCTCCATCCCTGCCGGTGAAACCGCGATCCGTTCATTCCCTCCATCCCTGCCTAAACCGGGATCCGTTCATTCCCTCCATCCCTGCCCTAAAACCGGGATCCGTTCATTCCCTCCATCCCTGCCCTAAACCGGGATCCGCTCATTCCCTCCATCCCTGCCCTAAACCGCGATCCGCTCATTCCCTCCATCCCTGCCCTAAAACCGGGATCCGTTCATTCCCTCCATCCCTGCCGGTGAAACCGGGATCCGTTCATTCCCTCCATCCCCTGCCCTAAACCGGGATCCGTTCATTCCCTCCATCCCTGCCCTAAACCGGGATCCGTTCATTCCCTCCATCCCTGCCCTAAACCGGGATCCGTTCATTCCCTCCATCCCTGCCTAAACCGGGATCCGCTCATTCCCTCCATCCCTGCCCTAAACCGGGATCCGCTCATTCCCTCCATCCCTGCCCTAAACCGGGATCCGCTCATTCCCTCCATCCCTGCCTAAACCGGGATCCGCTCATTCCCTCCATCCCTGCCTAAACCGGGATCCGCTCATTCCCTCCATCCCTGCCTAAACCGGGATCCGCTCATTCCCTCCATCCCTGCCTAAACCGGGATCCGCTCATTCCCTCCATCCCTGCCTAAACCGCGATCCGCTCATTCCCTCCATCCCTGCCTAAACCGGGATCCGCTCATTCCCTCCATCCCTGCCGGTAGAAACCGGGAGAGGGAAGGGCCGGCAGAGCATTCCCGCTCCCCGCCGAAGGCGCGGGGTGACATCTAGTGGCATTTTCCGTGGATTTGGGGACGGGACCGGCCCTGAGCTCCCTCCCCGCTCCGTCCCCGGAGGCGGCGCGGGATGAGCTCGGTCCGGGCTCAGCTGCGCCCGGTGCCCGCAATGGTCCCGCTGGGAACGGCGGCAGCGCCGGGATGGCGGCAGCTGGGAGGCAGCGGTCACCCCCCGGTCACCTCCTGGTCACCTCCCGGTCACCCTCCGGTCACCCCTCAATCACCCCTCGGTCACCCACCGGTCACCTCTCAATCACCCCTTGGTCACTCCTGGTCACCCCGGTCACCTCTGAACACCCCTGGTTATCCCTGGTCACCCCCGATCATCCCCTGGTCACCCTTGGTCACCCCCTGGTAACCCTTTGTCACCTCTCTGTCACCCCCTTGGTCGCTCCTTGATCAACCCTGGTCACCTCTGGTCACTTCCAGACACCCCCTGGTCACCAGTGATCCCCTGGTCACACTTGGTCATCCTTGGTCACCCCTTGGTCATCCCTTGGTCACCCCTTGGTCACCCCCTGGTTGTCCCCTTGTCACCCCTAAGTCACTCCATGGTCACCCCTCGATCAACCCTGGTCACTTCCAGACACCCCTTGGTCACCCCCCAGTGATCCCCTGGTCACCCTTGGTCATCCCTGGTCACCCCCGGTCACATCTGGTCACTTCCAGTCAGCCCTGGTCACCCCCTGGTCACTTTTGGTCACCTCTGGTCACTCCCGGTCACTCCTGGGACAGGGACAGGGACAGGGACAGGGACAAGGGCAGGGATGGGATGGGTTTGGGGACAGGGACAGGGACAGGGACAGGGACAGGGACAGGGACAAGGGCAGGGATGGGATGGGTTTGGGGACAGGGACAGGGACAGGGACAGGGACGAGGCTGATCCCAAACTGTGCCCAACCCTCAGGGCCTCACCTGCGCATCCCCAGATCTGCATCCCGAATTTTCCTCATCCTCAGGAATGAACCCTGCGCGTTCCTGATCCCGAATCCCGAATTTTCCTCACTCAGGGCCTCACCTGCGCATTCCCCGATCCTGAATCCCAAATTTCCCCCCATCCATCCTCACCTGCCCATCCCTGATGCTCCACCCCAAATTTTCCCCCATCCGCAGGGATTCACCTGCACGTTCCCAGTGCTCCATCCCAAATTTCGGTGCTCCATCCCAAATTCTGGTTCTTCTTCCCAAATCCCAGATGCTCCAACCCAAATTTCGGTGCTCCATCCAAATTTCGGTGTTTTATCCCAATTTCGGTGCTCCATCCCAAATTTCGGTGCTCCATCCCAAATCCCAGATGCTCCATCCCAAATTTTGGTGGTTTATCCCGAATTTCGGTGCTCCATCCCAAATCCCTGATCTCCATCCCAAATTTCCCCCCTCCGCAGGGATTCACCTGCCCATTCCCGGGATAAACCCCCCAGGAGAAGCCGGAATTCCATCCCCGTTCCCAGGAATTCCGGGATAAACTCGGGTCCGTTCCTCATCCCGTAAATCCCGGGAATGCCGAGGCCGTCGGGGCTGGAATTCACAGGAATTCCAGGATGTTCCCACATTTCCTTGGGAATTCGTCACTGGGAATCCCAAAGGATCCTGGAAAACCATCAGGGATTTGGGATCAGCCCCTTGGGAATTTCCTGGGATGGGCCTCGGGTGGGAAAATGAATTCATTTAATAAATGTCATAAATTTAATTAATTAATGGAATGACAGATCTAATTAATAAATAGGGTCATTAATAAATTCTATATTAATTCTTAATTATTAAATAAGGAGGTGGGTTAATGATAAATTAATAAAAGTCAGGGAAAGAAATTACTTATAAATTAATAAATAATCAGGTAAATTAATGTTAATCAATTAATAAATAATCAGGTAAACTAAAGTTAATTAATTAATAGAAACGGAAATAAATCGATTATAAATTAATAAATTAACAAGGAAACAAACAGGTAAATTAATGTTAATTAATTAATAAACAGCTATTTAAATCCATTATAAATTAACAAATAAACAGGTAAACAAACACATAAATAACTGTTAATTAATTCATTATCAATTACTGAATAAACAGGAAAATATACAGGTACATGAACCCATTAATTATTATTAATTCATTATAAATCAGTAAATAAACAGGTAAACAAAGAGGTCACTAAATGTTAATTCATTATAAACTACTAAACAAACAGGTAAACAGAGAGGTAAATTCGTGTTCATCAATAATAAAAATTAATTTAAGAATACTAAATAATAAATAATAAATAAAATTTTAAAGTAATAAGATTACAATTAAAATAATGATGAATAATAATTTAATTTAATAAATTGTAAACTTAGTAAATAAACAGGCAAATAAAACGAATTCATGGATCCCCGCATTAAAACCGGGATTTTTCTCTGGGATTTTTTCCGGGGCTCAGCAGAAATTCGGGGTTCGGGAGCGGGGGAGGCTCCGGGGGCTCTTCCTGACCCGGAAATTCCCGGATTTTCCTGGATCCTGGGAATTCCATTCGCTCCTGGATGTGTTCTATAGAACGGGGGATTTTCCATTGCTTTTCTAATTTTTAATTTAATATTTTATATCTAATGCTTTGTATTTTGTACTTTATAATTTCTAGTTGATATTTGAAAATTTAAATTTTAGTTTTTTATTTTTAATTTTTTGTACTGTACATTTTACGTTTTATATTTTGCATTTGATATTTTAATTTTTATATTTTACCTTTTACATATTTAAAATATATTTTATTTTTTTATATGCTATGTTTTATAGCTTATACTTTATTTTTAAATTTTTTTAGTCTTATATTTTATATGCTATACTTTGCTCCTTTTTTACATTTTATATTTTCTTTGTTATATTTTTAATTTTACGTTTTATACTTTATATTTATATTTTTAAAAATTTTATAATTTTTATATCATACTGTAATTTTTACACTTTCTATTTTCTATTTTCCACTCGCTGTTCTACCTCCATTCCGTCCCTCCGCACCCACCCCTGCCGGCAGA